TTTAATGAGTTTTTATCAGATAACAAAATGTTTTTACGTAGAGCAAATTAAAAAGGTAATGGGATAGACTACCTTGAAAAGGCAACTTTTAATACTTTCACCATCATCAGGTTTCATTTAGATTTAGATTTTGGTGTTTCTGTCATCCTGATCGAGCTTTGTCTTAGCTTTGCAGTTAAAAAAAAAACTGAACATTATTCTAAATGTTTAACATAAGCTTTCCTCTATGATAACTGCTTCACTTCTTAACCACTGACTTTATTGTTCTAAACAAATTTCAGAATTGGAAACCTCTGATTTCAGTCGTGATGAGGTCTAAGAAATGCGTGAGCGAGTGACTCAGCCAACGGATGACCCATCATCCTCCCCTGCCCAGCACAAATCATATCATCTCTTAAAAGTCCAATATATTTTGACATTGAAGCTGTTTGTGTAGGAGTGTTTCCTGGTTTTAAATTGCAAAACGGGTGTTTTGACTTAATGACATTTGAGGTCTTTTTTTTTTTTCAAATATTTGCAGTGATTTAATTGTCCTGATTTAAGACAGTAACATCCACAGTTCAACGTTTTTTTAGAAAACCGTCGTGGAAGTGAACTCTCCCGTCGAGTGCTGTAAAAAAGAAAAATCTCTTGTTCTCACCTGGTTCCCTGCGATGAGAAGAGCAGCAGGTGAGGGGCTCGGTTGGTAAGGGATGGTGGCACCCTTTGGTGGTGACTAAAGGGTTAAAACAAGTCCAACAATCAGACATTGTCACATAAACCTTAATAATAAAGCAAATCTAAACATAAAAAGGCTCAACATCGTAACAGCAAAATGAAGTCAGAGCTCACTTTAAACTGCTCCTGTAAAGTTGAGCCTTTTTCAAATATTATTTTTAAGTTTGTGATGTGAGTTTTTGTCTGAAAATGATTATCAGTTATTATTTTACCTGTTGTAGTTAGCTTTTTAAATAAACTGGGATTTGGAAACATTAGTTAAGACCTGAATAATAAGCTAAAAGCTAGTTTGAGCAGCACCAAGACCAAACTTCCCAAAATTTCACAGTGCTTCATGCAAACACTGTTTGATGAAGCTTTACATTCAAAAAGCTATTTACAATCAGTAAGAATTTATTAACGGTGTATAACCTTGTCCATAAAATCTCATTTCAAAACCTCAGAAGCATCTGTTTTAGACACTAAATAAACAAAAGAAACATTCCATGTGGATAATATCTSCAGCAGCTCGCCCCCTATTTAAATAAAGCATCCAATGACAAGGAGACATTTGCAGATAAAATTCTGTAACACCAGGGAAGAGCCAGAGATTATTGAGCATACATGACTTTGTATATCTTATCAAGTCACTGCAGTGTTGGTGATACTGTTTCGGGTTTAACGTGTGGAGCAGTCACAGCAAATTCTTTGTATAACTTTGCATAATTTACATCTTGGAGCCGAAAGCAAGATGCCGCTGGTACAGAATCCTAATGAAAGTCACAAGCCTTTGAAGAAAGCCCTGGGAAAATGGATCAAACCAGCAATTAGTCAGCTGGGTCCAACTGCAGCCCTAAACAAAATAAAATAAAAAAGAACACCCAAAAATAAAATAAAGCACTTGTGCACTTCCATTGCATGCGGATGTTTTACTCATAGCTCCTGATTTCTCAGATGTWGTTTTCTGCTTTGTTTTCCTGGGAGCAGCTTGTTGTCTTTTTGGAGACTGCCCCCTTGACCTTCTGGTGGCACCGGAGTGGRACCTTCCACCTTTACGTAACAAGATATTTTCAGCAAAGAGCACTTGATTCTTTGTATTTGCGACACAACGTGAGTCACACACAAGACTCAGAGAAGGCAGTGAGCTTCTGGGCAAAACACTTGTAATACTCATTACATAATAAAGACAACATGCCGCTTATGAGAAATACATGACCTATTGCTGCAGCTGAATGAGCAGTGGCAACAGTGAGATTAAAAAACGCACTTTGCCGACAGTCACTGTTTTTTTTTTCTTCGAGCTGCTGCAGAGGGTGAAAAAGCTTTGACAAGGTGTGGGAGCACGGCACAAAGAGAGGAACAGTAGGCTTCCTACCTCCAGGATTACTGTGCAGATGAGCTTGACACACTGGATTACAGAGTCCTGATTCCCAGATATCGTTACCCCTCGCTCAGTAGAGTTGGGTAGCAAATCTCCGGCCACCTGGATCTGAGCTCCTGTGCTCTACAAATGACAAAATGTTTGAAAGAAGATTAGCTCAGTTCAGGAGAAAAGGCCATCTGTGATCACACAGACATGACTTCTTCTGGGTTTCTGGGTTTGCTCACCTGCAGTATGCATATATATATATA